TGAATTGAGGACATAAAAGTATTGTTTTTTTTTTAACCTTGTAGCAACACCAGTTTGATTTCCTGTCATATTAGAAGTCTCATCACTTCCAAAATGAATTATTTTGTGATGTGATACTTCATTTGAAGTACAAAATGATAGGATTTGATTATAAATACTTCCTGCAGTGGTAGATTCTACATGTTCCCTCATAATCAAGTGTTGCTTGATACCTTGCATGTCCTACTCATGATAATATTATGGCCCTCGTCATGATATGCACATGCTTATCCAGATTTTAATATCACAAATATTGTGTGGGATTAGTGATGAACCTACCTTGAATTTTGCATCTATTATTATTATTATTATACTTGGATTCGCAAGACATATCTGTATTATATCAAAGTATTAAATTCAAATCCATGTGACCAAAAACTATCATGATCGTGATAATTCTTTCATATTCTAAATATCCAGTTACACCCATAATCTAATACATACATATTAGTCATGTGGCATTCTATTTCTATATGTGAAAATTAATTTGAAATTTGTATAATTACTTGCAAGGTTTTCTCTTGTGTCATTAGATGTATCACCAGTATCAAACCATTCATTATCTTTAGCCTCATTAAATGATTCATAAAATTCGCTTGTTACATTCATTGTTACAATATTAATTAGGAGATATGAGCTAATGACAATGCTTGTTTTCTGACAAAACTTTTCTTTTTATCCAAGTTTCAGGTAACAAATTATGTATTCTATGAATTCTTTATTTTTAAAAATTTTATGAATTTTATGATTAACAAAAAATGTGGGTGAAGAAGCTACAAGGTGAACATTATTGTACAAATTAATCATGTGATTTCATCATATGGTTATGTAAAACAAATGAAAAAATTGTCATTGCTTGACATCATCATTAATATTAGTCAAAAGAAAAGATTGATACCCTCTAGCAACAGCAATATTACACATTAATTATAAAAAAATAAATGAAATTTGTATGATGGTTAACTGCAGTTAAACAGTTAACAATGCCAACCTCTACCCAATTACAATGTTTCTTCATTATTTTGATTTCCATTGATTCAAAATAGAAATATTTTTGTTACTTATGACTATTTACTTCTTTAATTGTCATAGTAAAATACAGTCAAACCCACAGTTCAACAAACTTCATTTCAGCAAATTTTGGTCAAATTTTGGTTTTGGTCCCATTTCATTAACTTTACAGCATTCTGATCGAAAAAGAAATCCCTTATTAGAACTCAATTTTCATTATTTTTAAATGAGTCATCAGAGAAATAGGAAACATATCTGTGTACAATTTGACGTTGCCAAGCAATGCACATATATAAATAAAATAGCATAGTAGACACTGTTGCAGATCACAAAAAAATGATCAACATAACATATGTTATGGTGAAAGTTCTTGCAAAAGTTTGATTATAAAAGTGAGAGATAATTTTGATTTTGCAGATGATCTAGACTTAGAGAGGCTACAGCTATATTCTAGTGAAGTTTCAGAAGCAACTGGCTCTGTGTAACCACCTGCCTATTATACAAATCACTGTTGTGCAAAATGAGTGTCCATTATGCTAAACAGTATTATTACCGTGATTCCTAAATTTTTTTTTCTATTTATTTATAATAAAATAAAAAAATTATCTTTAATTATATTATCATTTAAAATAATTAATAGTAGTATTAAATATCTTCAATCATATATGTAGTTAATTCCACAATATAGTCAAACCTTGACACAGAGGATGAATGGCACACATAAACAAATTTTATTTAAAATCCGTTGTGGCAAGATTACTAAATACTAATACTAATCTTGCCACAGCAGATTTTTATATATTTTTACATGTGATATGCGAAGCAAAAAATTTTAAAAATCCATTATGACAAGAGTTTGATTATTATTATAGTTCGTTGTGACGAAAGTTACACATATATATTACATTTGATCAATCAATAAAAATTATCATAAATCACATGATATGTTCATACAATGTATATACTAAAAAAATTTTAAGCTCATACATACGTGCGTGTACGATATGTGCATGTGTACTTGTATGATTCCCAACCCTGATATTATATAACATTAACACAATTTGGTCTGTCAAGAAAAAGAGAATTTATAAGATTATCAATGAAAATTTACTTGTATTCCACCAAATGGCATATTGTTTTTTCTAATAATTCTTGCAATTTCCTCTAACTTGTCAAACAACTCACCATCTAACATTGATACTTAGAAGCAACATGTTATATTAATATTTTACCAATACTAAAAAAAAATTCATGAAGATTAAATGATAATCTTACATTCATCTATAATTAATATCCTTACATCAGTCCATCTTTTAATTGCATAATATGAATTTTCAATTCTTTATTGATTGTGTAGTCTCTATACTTGGAAATAATACTTTGTTAACAAAATCTTTGTATTTACGAGGTGTTACTTTATTGCCATTTGTTCTGACAAAATTTAATGTTTGTTCAATCACATCTTCATTGTCAATGAAAGACTTTGTTTTCTGATGGCAACCTTATAATGATTTTGGCAGTGTACCATGGTTTAACCAATATGATGAAAATTTTCTTATAACTCTAGATTTATATACTCCTTTCTCTTAAATGTCACTGGCTGCTTTCATACTAGCATCAATGGAAGTCATGCCATAATTCTTCTTATAATTGAAATATATGTATATATCAACATCAACATCAACATCAACATCAACATTATCATCAACAGTATCAACATTAGCAATATTATCAACATTATCATCAACATCAACATCAACATTATCATCAACAGTATCAACATGAGCAATATTCTAAACATTATCATCAACATTATCAACATTATCATTGCCATCATCATCAAAGACATCATCATTATTGTCATCAACACTTACCTTTTTAACATTAATTGACTTAAATAATTTGTAATAGAACTTGTTGATTTTGATGCATTAGTAAATGAGCCTGATGGCCCATACTTTCTATAATGGGTAGCTGTTGAATTGCTTACATAAGCTTTTTTGACATTTTTAACAGCATCACCATTCCATTCTAATTTCATTATACATTATAGAAAATTTAATCAAGAAATCCGTTATCAAGTAAGATTTTTAAATATATAGTAAAAAATCAGACTTTAATCCTCAGTTCGTTATATAGCAAGGACCGTTATAGAAAAGGCGTTCTTTATAGAGAGAGTGGACTGTATATTGATATTATGATTAAATATTCGCAATCTCATTTCTTAATGAAAAGCAAACGAAGAGTGTAATGGTGGAGTTCGTTGTAGTATAAAGTCTACTCTCTTTATAACGGACCATTTGGCTTATTATTATAAAAAACGTCCGTTATATAAAGAATATGTTATAGACATTAGTGTTTTATATAAATTGGGCTTAAATTATCGGTACGTTATAGAGCAAGATCCGTTATTATTGTAGGAATAGAGAGTGTGTGATGTAGCAGTAATGTATAATGTTTAAATAAATTTGCTATTTTTTTTTTATAATCTTTGACATTTATTTCATAATTTTGAGCAGTCATACCATGGGAATTAAAGCTGTAATATGTCCTTTATACTAATACTAACTAACAGTCATGAAGTACTTGAACACTTTAAATAAAATCGTGTAAAAATTTTGTTTTAGTCGATCACTCCACCCTTTAAATATTTATTGCCTTGGGAAATTCAATTTATTTTCATTATATCATCAGGAAAATAAATCTCACGTAAACCTACGCAGTGTTTAAAACTGACCAGCATTATGCGGAAATGTTAACAGAATTGCCAAAATATCGACATAATGCTGGCCAATTCTGAACCCTATGTAGGTTTACGTAAAATTTATTTTCCTGATGATATATAAAAGAAGCAAAAAATTGTTGAATTCATTTGAAGAACCTGACTATGGTGGTGAATTCAAGTTACTCAAATTCAAAATTGTTAGTTGGCGAAACTATCATAAATTATTTTTCAATAAAACAACACAGAATTTTTTCATGAATGAAGCACAAACCTGTGCAGGTGACCGAGGTTAGTTTAATGATGTTTGTTGAATTTGTATGCATCAAGCAAGAGATGATGTAGAAAAATTTAAAGAAGACAAATTAAAATCATGTATATTCATCACCGATGTCAAAGCAAGAATTCTACAACAAAGCATACATACTCAAGATCATCAATACAATGTTTACTTAAATCAAACGTCTTGTCTCTGTTCCATTTTCAAGATAACAATATCATTTAATGGTATCCGTGACATCAATCTTTTCTCCGCCTCCAGATGCTCAATCTATAAACTTCAATCTAATGTACTGCGCACCAGATTAAATCATTATGCGGTGAATTTTATCATTCTTAAACAAGAATCAACTGTTTATGGATAAATATATGGGCCAAATTATTATCATTAACAATAAATAACTATAGGAAAAGCCAAAATTTGATTTGTTGAAAGTCGAGAGTATCAAAGCACGTGACAACGTTTATGATTACACCAACACATCAAAAATACTAATGAAACGCCTCCAACTTCTGGAAGTCTCCTTGCAACATAATTATGTTAATAATATTTAGCTCAGATTTCGTTTTATTTATGGTACACAATCGCGCAAATTGAATTTCTACAGGGCCATAATTTATTATCGATTTCGTATATATTGTAAAAATAAATATTAATATGGGCCAATTTTTATCATGTAGTAGTATAAGTAGTTTAAAGACCCAAATTTTGTGTTTCAAAAATGACGTTTTCTTTGAAAAATTTTTCAACAAAAAAATGCTTATTGCAAATTTCAAAGGATTATAATAATAATAATAATAACAGAATAATGGGTGGTTAGAGCGTGTATATCAGTATGGTGTGACAAACACGTATTAAGATCAAGATCATGTGAATAAAAAATACAATATTTAAAAAGTCTCTTTAATCATGCGAACGGTGATTACAGCAATTAATTTTTTTACAAAAATGGATGATTATGTTAAAACTACAAACTTTATAATAATAATTTTAATATCCATTATCATCATTAAATGTATAAACTACTCACAGAGATCTCAGACTAAAAGAGAAGCAAAAGAAGATACCCTGGTTCAATTAGAAGTCAAGCCACGTAAAAAAGTAGAAAGTACACGTCAACTTAAAGAAAAAACAATAAATGGTATATATATTAAATAAATATTTTCAATAAACTTTTAATAAAATTATATAATAATCGTTATTGTTGTTGTTTTTATTAATACAAAAAAAGAAAACAATTCCAAACAAAGGAAATTAGAAAAATCAACATATAAAGGCAAATTAAAGGAAACTAAAGTATCTCAAGAGGATGATGAATTGGTGAAGTTACGTGAAAGAGGTTAGGATCAATTATTTTACAAGTAAATATATAAAGATGAACACACCTATTTCATTGCTAAAATCATTTTATTATTATTATTATTATTATTATTATTATTTGTTATTTGTTATTTTATTAAATTAGTAAAAATGCTTGAACTTGAGCTTAATTTGGAGTTACAAAATAGTAAACAACTTAGTGCTAGACTGGCTAAAGCAACTTCAACAAATGAACTTAATTCAAAGTATGCTGAACAATCATTTAAAAATACTTTATATGAGGATCTTACCAATTTATTGATCCAAAATGTAAAAATAAGATCTGCTGGCGAATTTACACTTTCATGTTTTCAAAGTAGTAAAAAAGGTGGTAAGTATCAACACTTAATTATCAATTAATTAATGGTATACATGTATATGTATGTGTGCATATTTTAAACGATTTTGCATTCTTTAAAAATAGATTTAGTCTTTAAACTTTCAACCACGCCTGATTATCCAGGTATTTATGTGTATTCTCCTTGTATTGATCCTACAAGAGATTCTATATTGTTGAAATCATTACCTCAATTTCTTCAAGAAGAAATTTTATTTTCAAAAGAAAAAACATTCGAATTCTACTGGAAACTTTTACATGCTTTAAATTAGTATGATTTTTATGATATAATAATTAATAAGTATTCTTCTTTGATCAACTAATTAAATAATTATTATTACAAGTTGTTATGTTTTATTAATATCATTCAATTTGTTTGATTTTAATCTTCTCTATAAAATAAAATAAAATAAAAGTTGCTAAATGGTTAATTGAATTTTTATTTTATTTCATATGTATATATGTATATAGTATTTATTTATTCATTCATATGAATGATTCCACGCCATTAAAGAGATATAAAATGTCATTTCTGCAATCAATTAATTTTCAATGTATATATAGTGTGGTGTGTAAATATCATCATAAACAATTTATTTGTCAACGAACCAATCAATAACTTTAGGGAATTGATTGGTTGATAAATCATTCAGATTTAAGTTTTAATTTTTAATTCTCTAAAATCTAAGCCAATAATCAAGTTTGATAACTAATAAATCTAAAGCCATTAATAAATAATCTTTAATTTAATGAAACTTTTGAACCATCAATTTCTTTCCAATTAACAGATGCTTCAATGACTGGTATTTTGCAATCAGTAAAACTTCTATGTCAAAACAACCTTGGAGTATCTTTTATATTTAGAATACCTAATATGTATAATAATTTGTGAAATGAATGCATTAAAAAGTTTCTTATAAATGATCTCTATAAAAAAATACATAAAAATACATGAACATTAATATATTTACATTAAATCAAATATACATATAATTTTTAAATAAATTACTGGAAAAATTTTTTGTCAATGCTAAGTTTCATGATCTATACCTTTTAATTAAAAAATTTTTTGTAATAAATAACACATACAAATTTTTTTTCATTCTGTTCATACTTTTCCAACTTGTAAGGTGAAAATCTCACCAAAAAAATTATACGTTGACATGCAAGAAAAAGGCAAAGAAAAGTTTTATATGTGGCCAAAATTTAAATTAATTCATATGCAAATTTTTAACGTATATTTTATCATTTTTATATGTATCATGCATTACTCACGAATTGCGTCTCAAGTCGCGAATCATGTCTCGCGTCTTGCGTCATGAGTTGCGTCTTGAGTCAGTTGCATAAAATTATGGTAAGTGACGCAACGTCAATTTTCTTGATTTACAATTGCGTAATGACTCAATTCAATTAATTTCGACCACATGTGTAGTGAAGATGTACAGTTATCAAACAAAAAGCAGAGAGAAAAATAATGTGAAATGAATCTTATTGTTAAATAATGATCTATTTTTTTACAGACTATTACCACAAAGAAAATTCTCTTTTAATAATTAGAAATATTTAATATATTATAAAATTGCAGAGATAATAGCATTACACTGTATCCAACTTTTTTTTTTATTTGGTAGAATAAATCTCAAAGATTGCAAAAATATAAAACAATATATCATAACTTTTTGTTTTTTTATATTGGACATCGTCAGATTTTACATATAAAATTGAAATATTAAAAAAGGTGAAAAAAATTGCTCCTTATATTTTCAAAATAGACAAGTATATATAGCTTGTAGCCTAGGTCCTGTAGAATATGCATGCAAAATTTTCGTGTTTTCTGATTTTTACTATGTCATTATAATTATTAATTGAAATTTGATTTTTTTCAAAAGATATTAATATAGGAAATTAAAATAATTTATAGGGCCTAGTACTAGGCCACAAACCATATAGTCAACCCCGTTATTCCGTTTAAAAATTTGGTTTAACGGGGTGGATTTATTATTATTGTTTTAACAGGGTTTTTCGGATTAACAGGGTCGAATATGTAGTTAAAAAATAAAAAAATCTGTTTTTACATATGTACGTACGTACGTATGAACATACGAATGTACGAACGATGATTTTCTGCGGTGATAAAATACAATAATAATATTATTATTAAGCCGTTAACCCTATTTACTATAATTAACGGATTACCAGATCAGAAAAAACCTCAGTACATATCTCGTGGTTTCTAGTGGTGGTGGTGCTGCCATTCGTTGTCACTCTAGTTACTATATATATATATATAAATTGAAGGAAATGATTGTTTGTGAAATGTTATACAATATGCAAACATCGAATAAGTCCATGAAAGAAAATTTCGGAGTTAACATAATATATACTATTGATTAGGAATATGTTGTCTATAAATATCAATAAAATAAGTCTATGGATGAAAATTTTCATATTATTCAATGTGAACAATTATTTTCTCTTCAAAAAATCTATTCTTCTCTATTCAACCAAAGCAAGCAGATGAAATCAGGTTTCTTGAACTTTATCTTGTGGAAAATCGTTTTATTTTCACTATTTCCATTTGTGATTGCATCCGTTGTCGACGAAGAGTATAAATCTGAAGAGGATGTGTATGATGCAATTATTAACACGTTCTTTCCAGTCTTCTTTGTCATTTTGTTCAATGTGAAAGGGGAATCTGGGCCCTGGACTCAATGTGGCCTACGCATAGCAATAGATAAAAGACTAGAGAAGTATGAAAATCAAATCGTAGATGAAAGTCAAGAGTATGAAACTCTAAAGGAAGAAACCAGGAAAGTGAACAAATCAATGGCCGAAATGAACAAATCAATGAGTGAAATGAGTTAAAGAATCAATAAAATCGAAAAATCAAAATATATTAATATTGGATGAAATTGTATGTGAAAAAGAGATAAATCACAATAGTAATTTAACATTAGTTTTCTTTTAGAAAGGACTATTGTGCTGTCACTTACAATATATATATATATATATAAATGATAGCTTAGCCATATTCCCAACATAAATATATATCCATATCCATAAATATTGTCTTAATAAATAATTTTATTTTTATTCAGTTCTTTATTAATGTGTTATAAAATTTCCACAATAAAGCTCACTAATAACGACAATATATCATACAAAGTAAATATGAACAATCACAATAATAAGGGTTTAAATGATTGTTTATAATAACGATATCGCATATATCACTGTTGACAGCAAAAAAATGATATATACATATGTAAACTCGATAAGTAGGTCATGTGGGGGTGGGCTCATATGGCCGACTTATCAAGTAAACCGATTTATCGAATTAAATTACTTAAATATTAAGAAAATGGGGTGAAAATTTTGGCCGACTTATCGAGTAAACCGACTTATCGAGTGACTGACTTATCGAGTTTACATATGTATTTTGTAAAAAAGAAAGTACGTTCTAAATAAACATATAAACCAATTTCAACACTACCGAATTTGTGGATTCAAGTAATTAATTGATTAATCAATAATCACTACCCATAATATTTAACTGATATAATTATTAATTGATTGGGACGTTTGAGTTGCTTCTCATCAATTTTTTGGTTAAGAGAAACAAAGGAAAGAATTACTCTCTTTGTCAGTTCAACCTTGACTGTATCTTTGATTATTGCCATTATGATGATGCTTTTTTGATTTTCTTACGAATATTAATTTGTTATAGTTGGAATAAATGTAATAATAATAATAACATATTCATCACTTTTTAAACAAAAAAAATGTTAATAAAAATTATTGGTAAATAAATATAACAGACCTTACAATACATACAAGTAAAACGAATAAAAAAACAGAATAAATGAAAAAACAAATAAAACAAATAAAACGAATAATAGAACGAGTAAAATGGATTAATTGAGTTGTATTACGAATAGTAATAGGATCTCTAGCTATTATACGTTTTGCATTTCGTTTTAATTCTCCATACATATTATTAATGATTATAACAATTTAAAAAAAATTTCAATTTTGGTGATGGTTAGATATAATTATATACAAAAAAAAAACAATTTATTTAAATTTAAATTGACTTAAAAAATCGTAGAATGAAATTTTCATTCTATATAGTATCATTTCATACCATCCCAATTAAATAAATTAATGTTATCTGGAGCGTTGATTGTCTTGTTTCAGATCGTCACATAATAAATCGTTTTTTATAAATACTTTTTGAACTTAAATTATTCGCAAAAGTTTCAAGCCAAATTATTCAAATTATTGTCAATGAAATTTTGATTATTTTAAAGATTACATTACTATTTTCAAAAAAAAATCTCAAATAGCCAACTTATGTTAATTAATAGTTAAACCCTAGGTAGTACGTGTATAACGAAGTAAAATTGAGCTTAAACTTGTATTATCCCAGTGGTTTAACTGATTTATCCCCCACCATTTATGCCATTTTTATGTGTAACTTTTTCCACTATCAAGAAGATTTGTTGGGTGGTTAATAACAAATTTAATTTATCCTTTTCTAAAATTTGTATATTTCATCTCGCCTTGCGGAATGTTACATTGCTCCACTATTATCACTATTATTAAAAAACTATTACACATTCTAATAACAATGGTAATTTTAATATTTAAAAATGGAGAGATTTTTTTTTAATTTAGTAATATATATCTTTATATTTATTATAGGAACCTAAGTTGAATATAACTTACAGTGTGATTCAAAAAAAATGGTGGTCACAAAAATATTACATAACTCAATGATTACATAACATAATTAAATAAAAATATATTCATTTGAAAGCTGATATTCTATTTTATTAAATAATAAGAAATTAATAAGAAATTCTATCACCATTTTTTTCTAAAACTAATTCACATCTTCTTTTCATAGACATAATAATATTTTTAACCATCTCCTGGGGAATTTTCTCACATTCTTCTACCATAAATCACTTCAATTCATCAACATTTCTAGGCATCCTTTTTTCAACATTATTCTTCATAATGTACCACATATTCTCTATTGGATTGAGGTCAGGACTGTTGGATGGCCAGTTAATCATATTAATCCTATTTTCAGCAATGAAATCTTTTGCAACATGTGATGTGTGCTTTGAATCATTGTCCTGTTGCAAACACCACCTTCTACCATGCAACCTTTGTGCAGTAGGCAAAAGCTGAGTCTGCAATATGTTGACATAATAAAGCCCATCCATAATATCAGTAAAACAAAATAATGGTGTTTTACCTTTTAATGAAATCCCTCCCCATGCCATTACTTTTTTGCTATGATTTCAGCAATCTGTGTGTGAACTGGTCTTTGTCCATATTTGTGCCATCTACGAATTTTGTTATGAAAAAGATCAAATGCTGTCTCATCTGTAAAGATTGTATGGCTCCAATTTTCATTCAAATGAGCTTGTGCCCATGCTATCTGGGCTTCAAAGTGACGAGTGGTTAGCATTGGAGTTCCAATGGGCACAGAACTTCTGTAACCTTTGTTTTCATGTAGTAGGTTGTGAAATAGACACATTATGTGTTACTTGGAGTTTAATTGCAAGTTGGTGTGTTGAAATAGCAGTATTATGGCAAGCAACTTGCCTGATGGAACATGACAGATTTTGAGTAACCTTCGATGGATGACCATTCTCACCTTTATGTTAAATAGAACCAGTTTCTTTTAGTTTTTTTAAGTTGTTCTCAATGGTACGAAGAGGGATGTTTGTTTTTTCATATATTTCTTTTGGTGAATGGATACCATTCATTCAAAAATGAAAAATAGTTTTACATTGTGCTTCTAATTTTGCATTAACCATTTTTTACAAAGCTTAAAAGTTAAAAGGTAAAGAAAAGACAATGTAATAACATACATGAATATTGATTATCATGTAAACAATCATATCCAATCATATTTATCATATAAGTAAATGGTAATTTTTTTAACAGGTTCAAAATAAGCAATCACCATTTTTTTTGAATCACACTGTACATGGTTCTATTACTGGACTTAATTGTTATAGATTACAAAATGAAAATCAAAGGATCACTTACTCTTCCAGATATTTCAGATAATGATTCAAAATCAATAAATGTTACAAGTGAAACCCATCCAGTTGCTACTGAAACAGATAATACATGTGACTTGATGAATAATAATCAAGATGCAATTTCCAGTGATACTAGTGTTGATGATTCTAGTATTTCTAGTGATGCTTTTGATTCAAATAAAAGTATTGATTCGCGTCATACATTCAATGATATTTCCAATATTACATTACCATTTAAAAGATCAAACAATTATAATGAAATTAAAGGACACAGATTTAAATTTATTAAATATCATAATATTACTATTAATATTCAGAAATAACTATTACTATTAAATACTCATTACTTCAAACAATTACTTGTAATGTTTCGCAGTTTTTTATAAATAAAAAATAGTTAACTGAAATAAATGATGTTACACAGAGGATAATACTTTTAAATTATATCATGATTTTGTAAGCTCTCCTTCACTAACAAAACCGTTGTCAATATAAAAATTTTCGAAACAATTAATTTTTTTTAAACCATATTCAAACCAGACACCAATTACTGGAAAGTATTCGAGATTAAATACAATCACGAAAGAACTAATAATAATTACTTTTTACAGGTCCAAGATATGATTCATATTTTGGTTTATTTTATTTGCTATCAAATTTACCAAAGGCATGATTGAAAAATAAAATCTTTTTGCAAGAAAAAAAAAACTTTAGCAAAAAGAGAAAGTACATGAATATATTAATTAAAAGAAGATTTCTAAAATAATAAGTAAAGGAGAAGGAAAAGTCCATGTTGAAATTCTCTTTTTTTTGCCTCTCTAAATTTTATCTAAATCTAAAATCAACTTAGAAAAACGTTTTATTCCGTATTAAATTTATTAATATTAATAAAAATAAAATTTTAAAAATATTATTTTGAGGGGGGGGATCATATAGTTCTTATATAATAATTTACCATTAGCTCCATAGTATTTTACTATCTGATTCCTCATCATAGACACCATTACAGTGTCAGTAATTTTATCCTATATACTGCATTGCCTGGTTTATCAATGATATAAGATATAAATTAAATTGTGAAAGAATGGAATTGAATATTTGAAGTAAAAACATATTACTATTTGAGATATAATGTAATATTGCAAATAAATTAAAATTACCTTGTACAGTATATCCAAATACATCAAGATCCTTAAGGCTCAAGTGTCCATATTTATAATATAACTAGAATGACGACGTGCAACCACCACCATCGCCATTCTTTTTAATAAACTAGAATGACGACAAGTGGCGATAATCACCATTCTTTTTGATAAATAACACTTGCCTATTTCTTTAATTCGGATCTTGTTCGTTTTCTCTCTTTGCTTTTTGCTATTATTTTCTAAAAAAAAAAAAAGAAAAAAGATGAGATTGACGCGTTTAAATAATTATTATTGGCACTTAGTGTTGTACAAGATTGATTTTTGGGACAGACGCGAATTGAATTTTTTTAGACTCAAAAAAAGATGACAAATGTGAGTGATGTTGTCTGTATAGTTTGGTTCTGAAAATGTGTTAATAACTAACTCCTAGTGATGAAACTTAAAAATTGCCTAAACTGTGGTTAAAATAAATAAAACAGATTTATCTAAATGCTGTCCAATCGTGCGTTGGACATGTGACCTATATACGTGGCTTCTTTCGTTTTAATAATACGTATTCGTATTTTTTATTAACATTAATATTAACATTGATTCTAGGAGGTGTTAATATTTATATTTGCATTTTTATTATTTTACATTTAATATTTTTATTTATATATTTATTTATTTATTTATTTACAAAATAATGTCATTTTTTGTAAACAAATCAATTCTTTTTTGTTTAATAAAACATTTTGTAGTCGGAAATTAAACAATATGGTTTAATTTTTTTCACCCGCAGTATGTTTCGTCAATTTCTCCAGAAAATTTTCATGAGGGAGATTAGGCCCAAACTATGGTTAGTTATGGCCACCATAAATAGACTTGCATCATGAATTACGTCATGCGTCACGCACAACACCAATATAACTGTTTCGCTTTTTAATTAAATAAAATTTAGGTGAATAAATTTATCTAAATCTATGTAAATCGTAAAATTTTCAGGCCGATCTCGGGTTTGCCTTTAATATTAAAACATTCAGGTTGACAATTAACTCTCCCGAACCTGGCCAGTTTGGAGCTTTAATTACTTTGTGTTGTAAAAGTTAATTTATAGCAAGCATGCTA